GTGTGTGTGTGTGTGTGTGTGTGTGTGTGTGTGTGTGTATTGTACCTGGAAGGTGACTCTCCCCAGAGGCTCAGTTTCCGCCGCGAGCTCCATAAACACCACCGGCATGTTACTGTTACTGCTGCACGCGCGCTGCGCTGTAACGGCTAACGCGCGCGCTTTAACCAGCCTGGCACTCAGCATAAACATGACGACTTATTACCGATTATAACACTTTCTTTCTTTTCCTTTTCTTTTCTTTTCTTTTCTTTTTTCTCTCTCTCTCTCTCTCTCTCTCTCACTCACTCACTCACTCACGCGCTGTCAATGTGAACCCTTTTAACTTCTTCTTCTTCTCTGCCTGTACACCGGCGCGCTGCTCCAGCGCCCTCTATCCTCCTGGAGCAGAACTGCAGCTCAGGAACTGACAGGAAACTTTACGGCGAAATATAATAATTATAATAATAATAATAATTAATATTAAATTATAACATTAATTACAAAGTAATACATATATTACAGGCTGCACTGAAACTGTAACCACGCCGCTGTTTCACTGGTGTTAATGAAACCGACTATATTAGTGAGTGATGGTCTCCCTCTAGTGGCCACACTGTGTAATTACACCTTCACTTTAACCTTCACTTTAACCTTTACTCGATAACACACTGCACTTTATCTCTTGTTATTTACATTACCTCTACATTTATACATTTATACACTTATACACTTAAACATGTGAGAATTTATGTATTTATTACATTTATATAGGTATAGACATATATCATTAAATAAATATAACAGTAATTATGGTGATTGTAGTCCTTTAGTGATCTCCTCAGTCCCTGATATGATATAGTATAGAAATATAGAACTTTTTTACTATAAAACCTTTAAATCAAAATTAAAATCAATCACACAACATGTAAAAGTCTTAATAAATATTAAATATTTGCGATATATTAAAGTTGTTTCATTTTAAAATGATTTTTATGTCATATTTACATCATGGATGTTTCTATATAATATATATTTGTAGATTATATACTACAAGCTTCATCTATCTATCTATCTATCTATCTATCTATCTATCTATCTATCTATCTATCTGTCTGTCTGTCTGTTTCTCTGCAGCTGTATGCAAAAGTTTGTGCACTCCTGGCCAAATGTTTATTTTAAGTAAACACAACCTCTGTAGACACCTATTTAAAATTCTGTGTTAATGCACAGTTACTTTATATTTCATTAACTTACAAAAAAAATAGAAAAGATAGAATAGTAACTGTGGTGTGTGTGTGCAGAAGTTTGGACACCCTGCCAGTTGTAAAGTCTCAGAACTGAATTGAATCATTAAGACTCTTCATTCAGGTAGAGAGCTTTTATTAGGAATAATAATTCCAGAGTATATTCTCTTTGAAACTTGTGCTGAGACCAACATCCATGGGCTAAATGATGCCTACAAAGCAGAGGAGGGTTATAAAAAGATCTCAAATGCTTCCAGCCTGCAATTTCCACTATCCAAAATGTCATTAAGAAATGACAGTTAAAGGAAACTGTGGAAGTCAAGGCAAGATCTGGAAGAGTAAGGAAACTCTCACATAGAACGTCTCGTATACAGAAAGGTGAGAACCTGCAGGAACGTTTAGGTGACACAGAACTCTCCCTCACTGTTCCACTCTGCAGCACTGCTTACACAAACAAAATCTGCATGGAAGAGTCATCAGAAGGAAAATCTTCTTCTGTGACCTCATCACAAACGTCAATGTCTGATGGATGCAAAACAACACAGACATAAGCCAGAGGCATTCTGGAAACAAGTGCTGTGGACTAATGACGTAAAAATGAAGCTTCTTTCCCACAATCATCAAAGGTATGTTTGGTGAAAAAAAGGAGCAGAATCTGATCAAAAGAAAACCGTGAATGTGGATGTGTGTTATGCTTGGGGTTGTAAGGGAGAGCGGGGTGAGTTGAGCCAGTTTTTACTGAATGTGTCTTTAAAGACTGAACTGCTACAGCTCAATTTGCACATTTGTAAATGTTACTGCTGCTATTTCTTATCAAGTAGCTTCATTTCGATTTGCACATTGTTAAATGTGACAGCTGCTATTGTTATTGTGTAGTTGCACTCAATTTGCTACAGGCTACTGTACTATTGTTTTTGTATTTGTATTGTTATTGTTTTGTACATAAGTCAACATTGCACACTCACACATACAGATGTACATAGTCTATATTTCTATACACATAATCTATATTTCTACTTCTGTAACATAGCTACACTTTATTATGTTTGTTTGTATGTATGTGTATGTCTGTTTTTATTTTTATTTCTACATAGTTTGTGTTTATCTTGGCATTCAGTGTGGACAGCAAAGA